TTTCTTTTTTTCAAGTATACAGAGTGAACAAAGATGATGAGTACAATTGACACACGTTTAAAATTTGTGGCGATCAGTGAAATCTAGGACGAGCGTTTCGTCCTTGATTTATATCTCTCAACGTTGCCCCACTGCCTTGTGGATTAGACCTTCAATTCAAGGTCTTGGGGAATGGCCTACTAAGAAAACCACCTGTTTTGGTTTGGCGACCAGGGCAGCGTCCAACCTAGCACACAAACTAAGTGATAACTAATTTATGTGACATATATATTTTGTTACCCTTTTGTGCCAATATTTATGTTTAACTAAATAAATACATATGACACAAATTGGTTGAATGGCGTGTTACTAGTTATATATTTGAATTATATTCATATGTATTTTACAACAAACAACAAATTAAAATACTCAAAATGATATGAATATGTTGAAATTGTGCTTAAACCAAACTGTTCTATTTCTAAATACTTAAGAAATATATGATTTATATCAGAAGGGGTTTTGTGGATATTATAGTAATTTTTAATGGTTGAGATCACTAATCAGTTAAAACAAGACCATGCTCACTAGTGATGGTCTCCAAGAGGTATTTCCTAGAGTTCAGTGAGAAGCGATGACCAGTGGAGTTCAACCGGTCTGTTGTAAGATAGTAACTCACTGAAGATAATGGTGGATGTATCGCTCAATTTTGTGGATCAGTTGAAGTTAAACATTAACTCCGTTGGATGCCGACCGGCTCAGTGGTCTAGTGGTTAAACATTCGCGTGCGAGACTGACAGTTCCCGGGTTCGAATCTGACGAGGTGGGATCGTGGATGAGCACTACTGAGGAGTCCCACAATAGGTTTGTTTGTAGGATCTATCGTGGTCTGATTCAAATTAAATCAAAGGTTCTATTGACAGAAATTATTATAGTGATTTTCATTCTACTCAAGTTTATTCGTTATTAGTAACGTTCAGAAAACTTCTGATTTGTTCAGAATGAATTAATTAATTCATATTTGAAGAAGGATAATATTCCAGAGGAAACTTTTTTTTCTTTCTGACGACCTTATTTTCAGGTGTTGTGCAAACGTGTTAATGTCAAAAATTCAATGTAATGTTGGTTTTATATGTATTAGTATGAATGTACATCGTAATTAACAATCATAATAAAAACATAAATTGTTCGCTTATATCTAATACGTCATTCTGTACTGAGGAAATATTTAGATTGACTCAGAAGTATGGAATATTTAAGGGATTACGAATATAAAAATTGTTGTATTATATTTCATGTAGATAGGGGAAGAATATCATTATGAATGAGAGTAGCGACTGATATAAGGTGATCGTGTAATAATAATATTATTCCAGTGAGTGAATTTGGGGAGTTCTACCTAAAATATTTTGATTTAATGATAAAATTTCACGTACACTATGAAAATACAGAAGGACAGAAATAAAATGAAGCACTAAGAAAAATACGAAGATATAAAAGAAAGTAAGGCCATGATAGATAAATCAACTTTCTATACTGTTTCTCTGCACACACACACACAAACGAATACACCTACATACACAATTCTATATTGTACCAAAATATAATGTTGAATAAAGCCATTAATAATAATAATAATAATAATAATAATAATAATAAATTTTTACCAATGCAAATGATATATGAGCATACACATTTCAATAGAGTTAGTTTAATCTAATCAATAATTCTGAATAATAAATTTGCAGTTACGTGATTATGATCACCCACATACTAACGAATGGATCTTATACTCCTATGTTATCATTTACTGGGATTTAAGATCATTTCTGTTATTCATTTACTGACTTTAAAATTCACAACTTTTATTCTTTCAAATTGTAGTTGATCATCAGTCACTTATATTTTAATGGTTGAGACCATGAGTCAATTAAAGCTAGACCACCATGGGAAACCTGAAAGCACTGGAGGGCCATTTCATCTTATTGTGGGACTCCTCAGTAGTGCTCATCCACGATCCCGCCTCGTGAGGTTCGAAGCCAGGACCTATCAGTCTCACACTCGAGCACTTAACCACTTGACCACTGAGCCGGTCGGCATCCAACGGAGTTAATGTTTAACTTCAACTGATCCACAAAATTGAGCGACACTTCCATCATTGTCTCCAGTGAGTTACATACTGATACTAGTCACTTATAAATTCAATGCTTACAAGTCAGTCTTTTGATTCATTCACTGTACACACACCTACAGACAAATGTAATAAATTCATCAGATTTACTACTGAATATTAATATATCAATGTAATTTTTATAAAAATTCTCATTATGAGATAAACATCTGTGAACAAAAGAGCGCTTACAAATAAATTTTCAGAAGATTACATGTAGTTATCATCAATGAATCACCATCCAAGTTTAAAACTTGGATTGATTTTGGTTGGTTTATTTATTCTCTGAAGAAATAGCATACACTGAGTCACGAAACGTCAAAAAACCTCATTTTTCTACTCATTGGGATATTACAAATATATCATTTATTTATACCAATCTACCCAATGCTCAATTCATTCGAAATTATCAAGTTAAACCTTGGTAACGATACCTACAAATGAATCACCAATGTTTAAAGTAAATACATATTTTTAGAATAAAGAACATAAATAAAGGGTTGTCAGTACAATATATTTCTAAACAAGTGTTTGTAAATCTTTATAATATCTTTGAATCTGTTGGTAGGACACGTAGAATTGCTACCATCCTGATACTAAAATTAGAAAGTTGATCTTTCAGTGAGCTTCATGAATGGACCGTTTCTCAGTTTAGCCAGAAAAATAGCAACTGATATGGAAAACAATTGTGAACTCTTTGCCATTCCATCAAATCGTCAGTATATTTTATCAGTGAAAGTGAAATAAGCATTTGTGATGCATCTCAATATAAATTTTTGATGACCCTATCTGGGATTGCAACTTTGATTTTTTTTTTACAATGATTGTATAATGATAATTTTCACTCGCACGTAATGACATTTAGCATTTTATACCAACCAGTAATATCAGCTTCTCCTTTCTTCTATTCACTGAAAATAACAAACATTATCAACTGTTCCAAGCTTATTCTGATAGTACAAACTGAAGTTATGTCTTGAAAGATTAGAGTAAGTTTAAAGAAAGATTTTTTCATGATTATTATATGAAAACTCTACACAATTTAAGAGTGTAAAATTATTACCCCATTCAAATAGTTTACACTGAGATAGTTCAGAGTAATTCCATTCTATATTGTTTAGTCTGAAAACACAACTAATGAAGTTGTTGAGTTCAATCTACAAAAATTTTTAGAATTCAATCTTATGATAGTTCTGATGAAATCGATATTTCATGCAAGATTTGAACTCAAAACATCCAGTGTTACATGAGATATTACCTTTCAACCAACAGACCTAATTAATATCGAGCTCACGTACAAAGCTTGACGTTGATTGTCCATAATCGCTTAACATTGGAAAAAAGTTTCACGATATATAGGTTTATTTGAATTAATGACCAGACTACATCTTGAACATCCTGAAACTTAATCAATATAAAAGAATATAATACATCATACTAGTCTTTATTAAGTAAAACGTTGATGTAGACAAATATATTTTAGCTATAAGCAATAATTCCTAATTCTTATTAATGGGTAGTATGATTAGCTTTATACATACTAGTTAGGAATAAAGTTTTAACATCCATTACTATTCAAGGTCACATAATGTACTATTTTTCCGTTAAGCCATTTACTTGTTTGTTAATTTTATTATCTACCATTATTATTTAGATTATATGTAGAATAGCTCTTTCATTATGCATATGTCAACTTTAATTTATATCATTCGTGTATATAAAATCCCCATCTGAGTCTTCTGTATTGTTTGTAATGTAATAATGTGTTTTAGTAAATGTATAAAACGAAACTGTCTAATTAATGTTTAATAATGAATGGACAGAGTAATGATATAAAATAATTTTTCTAAATATTAAGCAAAAATGTACAATGATAGTCTTTATAGTTCGGAGATTAAGATAAATTATCTAACAGAGATGAGAGCTATAATAGTTCAAATTGAATGGGATGCATTGAAGCATTATCCTCGGGTGACATACGATCCAGTAAAATATACTGTCCTATGCATGTATAAAATCATCAAGTATTGTGTTAAGTCCAAAAAGAAGACATTTGCCTCTGTATTAAAAGCCAGAAAAGAATAAATCTGCAATAAAAATCTTTCAATGGTACTATTTAGAATCAATCGCTGCCATAAAAATCAACCTTCTATTTATTTTTCTATATGTTTGTGACCGGAATATACTCACGATCACATTTTATTCCTTATACAAGATCATAATAATTTTAACTGATTCCCTTAACTTTCTCAGGATTCCAAATTGTTTCTATTTACATTCATATTCATAAAATAATTATCAGTTCAATATGATTTATAAAAGATTAGAAAGAAATTAAGAGTAGTTGTAATATATTACTTATAATATTAATAATTAAATATACATCTTTATGAATGGAAGATTAGGGCTTATTAACTTAAAGGTATAATGCTTACTATGAGTTGTGTAGTTCAATTCTACTGTCAATACAATATACTTTTGTGTGCATCTCAAATAGTAATAAAACAGTATTGTCTAGATTTTAAATCCTTTTTTCCAGCTTATATAACTATTTTTATGGAAATCACCTTGAATAACAATAGTACATAAACTTGACAAAATCATTCCAGTAAATTTAATATTTCTTATTAGAAAACTGAATGCATATTATAAATCAATATGATTTACTGCCTCATAATTTTTTAGCGGCAAATTGTTTTTAAAACTCACTTATGTAGTATAAACTTGTATTCCTTTTTTTTCTTTCGTTTAACTGAAAATCGAATCTATCTATAACCAAGTCAATACACTTAATTTAGTTACTAATGTTAAGAAACAAACGTTTTATTAAGCTATTAATTAGTTAACTTACTCAGATATTTTTAATTGTTCAACTGTGCATTGCTGTCGTCTTAATATATTCCGTTTGATGCTGGGAAGTCCGATAACTGATTTATCATTACTATTATTATTACTTGTAGTAGTAACAGTTGTAGCAGTAATTTCATCCGATTTCTTTCCGGTCTCTAAGATGATACATGAATTGTTCTCTTGTTTTATACTAGCAATCGATTCAGATGATTTAGACATTTGAACATATGGCAATGGAAATTTCTCATCATCTTGAACAATATTTATCGAAGTGTTATTATCCGGTAAACAAGTACTTAAATTACGATAACTTCTAAATGAAATCTTTTTATTTGTCCTTAAACCTATAAAATTTAATTCTGATTTATCATTCATATTATTAACAATGAAGTATGATAATGAAAACGTTTATCATGTGCTTCATTCTCTTCTTCTTGTCATTCATTAATGATGTTATCACAGTGAACCAGCACCATGAAGAATAACATACTATAGAGTAATTAATCGAATGAATTGCTCTTTTATTCTTATTAATTAATTAAATACAAAATATTACCTGACACATATTACTAACATACTGATCTAAATTATCCAAAATAGTAGAGATTAATTCCAACTTTTTTTAAAAATTTGTTTATTCACTATAAATCCTAAAATGTAAATTGTGTTACAGTAAAATCTGTATGGGCTTCTTTTATTCATGTCCTCTTTAAAGTACTTTATCGAATCTCTTCAATATGAAATAATAGAATAAATTAATAATGTTTTTTTACAGTGTTATATATAAATAGATATTAGTGTTGTGTTTTGTTTTTCAAAGAAGATCAACTTTGTTAACATAAAGGATCCATAACTCAAAAGTAAATTTCAACCAATAAATAAATCCTCAATGTTGAAAAGTTGTGTTTTTTCTGTTGTGGAGAAAATTCTGAAATTTATTTTACCATATATATATATTCCTTTGTGTGTGTGTGTGTTCATATCTGTCGAGTGTAGACTTATATACTTACAGGCATACAATCATAAACATTTGGTCATAGAAAAAAATACACAAACATTTATAACAGATATAGACACATACGTATATTTGTCCATTCTCTATTTTGTAAGTACACTTACAAAACATATGTATCTGTTCCTAGGTACTCTTAAAAATAAAGTAAAATGTATATATATATAAATATATATATGTATTGCAGTTCTATCCAGTCAGTGAAAAATCAGTGACTTCATATTCAGTTTTCTTATTCCTGTGATAATCATAATGTTATATAGTGGAGAAGATTTGTAGCTCAGATGGATGATTTTGTTGGAGTTTTGTTCTCTGAGCTAGAAGGTTTGGTCGTGGAGCTTTCATCATTCTTCTGAACGACATCATCAGTACAAACTTCAGATAGACTTCTGTCTGAAAGCTCCATGACTAAACCATCTAGCTCAGAGAACAAAACTCCATCAAAAACTTAGTATTATTATGTAAACTAACTTACTCTTTAGTTTCTACTTAATAAATTTGATTATTTTGAAAGAAAATAATTTCTGAATTAATAGTTGTATTGTATAAGGTAAACGATAGTATTGTGAAGCGTACGATATACTTGTATTCATTTCTTGTGAAATTATTTATTAAACATAAGAAAAAATATCTGTCAAATGATTGTCGATCCCATATGACAGTTGAAATATTTCAGTTACTAGCTAATATTTTAAATGTTTGTTCTAAATACCGTTATAACCTTGAATATCATTTTTAAAATTCATTCATCATACATATAGACTATTAATGGTTAACGATAATGGAGAAAATTATAAGGACTTTCCTTTTGGTTGAATTAGTTAACTTTTATGCAAAGCTATTTAAATCTCTGAAGGATTCATTTTTCCATCATACCAGTTTGTCAATATATGTTTTTTTTAGCTCAAATTTGATTAAACTATTAACCAGGTTGTTTATTAACTTACATTAAGAAAAGTTATGATGACATAGAATATGCTGAATCACACAACAGTAACTTTGTAATTGTTTACCAAACATGTGAACCATTTATCACTTCATTATTCATTATAAATAAATTAATATTTTCCTAAGTACACCTTTCTTCATTCATTCAAATATTAAATTTTTTTATGCAAAGGATTAAATGATACAATCGTATAAAGCTTGATAATACATTATGTTATTATTTTAACTTTACCTCACAAAATCAAACGTAGTTTATAAACCTTTTCAATAATTTAGTCACCGTTCAAAGAATTTGTCATGTTTATATTTTGATAAATATGGTGCATTCACCTTCAGCACTGACATTAGTTTCTACCCTGTAAATTTGTTAGTAAATATTTTCGTTTCCCTTTATTTTTATATCGATCATTTTAACGATTATTGTGTAATTTGATTGATAGTTTTTGTACATTAGCTTAATTTGTGAGTGATTGACATTAATGACAGATTGACATTAAGTTTAAGTACCATTAGAAAATCAGAAAAGAGTCAATAACTGTTTTGTCCTGGCATGAAACTCCGTAATAATGACTTCACCAGTAATCTAATCCCTGATCTTCAATTCTTGTTATGTATAAATTACTGAGTTAGAATTAAGTGATTAACACATTAATATTCAATTAATTTATGATAAATCGTAGTATAATCTAGTCCTATTGATAATGACTATCTCGCCCACGAAATGGTTTAACTTAATAGATGAGAACTTCTTACTGAAACTTCAAGAATTTATCGCGAACCTAATCAACTATAGTTTATCAACACCTACACGTATATCTAAAGATAAACGAAAATAAAATACTTTGATTTTATGTTCATTTGAAATATTGGGTGAGACTATAATTTATGGACGAACCAATCAGATGTACGATAACAGGTCTTGAATTTCGGTGAGAAATTAATTCATTCATTCGGATAAATAGAGTTTTGGCATTATAGCTGATGTCAGTCCGTGATGAAAACTTTAAATCTAATTATTAATCCTAACTACCAACGGCAAAATATTAATCCCGACTCATCACACTGGTGTATAATCCTCATTTAGCCGTTGTATGTAGATTAACATTCTCAAGATCTTTTAGCGTCACAAAAAGATCATTCACTACATATTGTTCGATTATGTATGCAAAAGTGAATAGTTAATCAATAATTGATTCAAATTGTTGTTTATTTATTAAAAATAGTTTTCTTACAAAAATATGCATACTGTTTTCTTGTTTTAAAAAAAAGGTAAAAACAATCATATCCATTTGTTCCTATTTCCGTTTACAATTGAATCAGTTAATTAATCCATCTGATTTTGTTAAATATTTAGATGTTTGACATTATTGTTTTCAATTTCTAGTTTGAAGAAAACGATGTTTTGTATTAACGTTTTTTTTATAAATGTTGGTTTTCATTACTAAAACTATCAATATAAGATGGTACATTATGGAGATTTGATAATGTTGTTTATGAACTGACTTCTTGCTTTAAAAAAATAAGAAGTATTAAACAGCTCCTTAAGAATATACATTTACAAAAACTAGATTAAATCGGATACAAGAGCTTTAAATCTCATTAATAGTAAAATAATTCTAGAAAATGTCAATGACTTTAGTGTATAATTGTCCAAATTTTCTTGGAATTCTAATCAAGGAAGATATAGAACATTTCTCAATCAAAATTAATAAAAGACATCTGTTCAAGTTATGAATCAACTCATTAAAATCAATTATGTCTTTCAAATAGAACTGTTACTAATCTTATTGCCATAGCTATTTTTTGTAAGGCTTTACACTTTCTTGTTGTTGATATCAAAGTCTGTAAATGATCAGCTTTCATTAATCACATATTCACCCTGAGTGATGGATACTGGATTGAAATTTCAGGGTTAACATCAACTGATAAATACCGAACAGAATAGAACTCACCTCCTACACTCCACTACTAGCTATAAACCAAATTTACTAAAATTGATCAATTAAATGTTTTTAAGAATATTGTATAGATTGGAGTTAATTTTTATCATGAAAGTAAGACAATTTATGAATTAATGAATATCTAGGTAAATACTTTTTTGAGCATACTTTAATTCTATAAGGCTCACTAAGGGAAATTATTAAAAAACTAACTAATTAATTAATTAATACTTCTCAAACAATGAAATTTTCATAATACATTTATATGGTACCTATTTTTTTCAAATTTATTATTGGCTTTATTCAATATTCTATTAATGGTACAAGACAGAATCCTCAGCATAAAGTATTTCAACGAGTTTCCATTTTTAAGTTCATGATCGATATTGATGATAAACTCCAGTTAGATATTAACATTTCAAAAGTCAAGATCTGAATAATATTCTTTTTTTTTCAATGCATATTGCTAGCCATTATGATATTACCGATTGGAAATTTATGTAGCTTGTATAGCGAAAGGTTGTAAATTTTTCAAAAACGCATCTGAATAGGTTGGGCAATTAATTGACACAATGATCTGTTAAAACAAACAAAGAAACAGATAACTTGCTGAAATATTTGGATGGCAGAAACAAGTAGCTCAGATATTCAAGCAGGTCATCTTAGATAATAGTAATTATTATTAATTCTTAAAAGAATAGTAAACTGACCTAAACAGAAGTCAAATTATATATAAATTTAAACTATTCATTATCAAAAAAATAACTAATTGATTCATAAATTTTCATTTAAATGATGAATCAATAATTTTAGGACGTCAGTAACATTCTAACTAAAAATAATGCCCCATAGTAATTCAAATAATTTTCTTCTTACTGAATTATAACAATTAACCACAAATATTCAATACTTTCTATTGTTATCCCATATTTTTTCCTTAAAGCAAACAGAAATGTTCGAATAAATTCAAATATACTACTGATATAGGAAAATATTAGATTTGTATAACTCAATATTGTGAATAATAAGTGCAAAAAGTTACTTTAAATAACAAAAGGCATCGAACAATCCAATTAAAGGTTATAGAATATGTCCCTAAGTGAATTCAGAATCATTTAGTGTCAAATGCTCCGATAAATATTTGAAGGGAAATATTGTTGTTTGATTGAGATCATGAACCGATTAATGTTGGACCACCAGTGAAAACCTGGAAGTACTGAACGGTTATTTTGATACCGCTCGCAGGATCGTCGATGCGCACTGCTGAGGAGTCCCACAATAGGAAGAAATGGTCGTGCAGTGCTTCCAGGTTTTCAGTGGTGTTCTAACATCAATCGGTTCATGATCTCAATCAAAAACTTAACAACCTCCACAACCCCTAAACTGATAAAGATCATTTTCATCGACGATAAAAAGTGGTTGAAATGGGGCATGGAATTAATATTAACACAGAATTTAAAACGTCTGGAAATTGTCAAGAATAAATTCTTTGATTAGGTTTCGGGTAACTGGAAATGCAAACCCCCCTTTAAGTGTACAAAAACAATTTGTAATGACCTTGAATCTATTCTGATCACCTTTAAACCATGTTATGGCTAAGAGTGGTGTAACAATTTCCTATTCCTTCCATAATTACATTAATTGTTTTTCTCGCAGATTCAATTTTGATTTTAACCGGAAAAATCTATAAGTGATAACTTTTTATTCTTCTCTAACCCCTTGGTTATTTTTCTCTCCTTTATTTACAATTATAACTGTATGTTTATTTGGACTTTTATTTAATTGACCTTTATTAGTTTTCATATAGAGAACCTCGGCAAATTTATGTATATGGCCAAATTGTTCAAAACCAGAATGCATTAAACTTTCAGATTAAATTTGTCTTCTTATTATTTTATCAAAAAAAAAAGGTTTTATCTTTCAATTCTTAATATAATCTCACTGTCAACTTGTCTGTTTTTG